GTGTGATCTCATATTTGTACTCATGCCAAATTTAGGTAATATAGCACTCATAAAATATCTGCAGATAACAAAAATAGGTTGTTGCTAAGCAAAAGAAAGGTATCCATAGCAACGAAATAAAAAATATAACATCATAAAAAGTGCAGACATCATATAAGTACTCAGGCTAGTTTTAGTGAATATAGCTCCAATATTAAATTAGTTATGAATTTTGTCTAGTAAAAGTGAATTCTGACCCACTGTAGGTTGTTTTGCCTAATTGAAGATATCTTTAATTTAAAATAGCTTTTAACAGAAAAAAAAATTGCTATTAGAATCGGTACCTATTTAATAAATCAAATTTTTTCAATTTTGGCTGGTCTCTACCCAATGGGCACTGGATCAAAAAAAGTCGTCTTTAGAACGTTCAAAAGACGTTCAAAACGTTCAAAAGACGTTCAAAACGTGCACAAGACGTTTAAAAGACGTCTTTTTTACATCCATGCCCAGTGAGTATTAGTTGTTTAAAAATTGAAATTTATTTCTTTGTAAACCTTGAATTCAAATATCTTACTTATTTTAACTCTAAAAAAGTAGATTTATGATTTAAATTAAAATATTTAATACTTTTGAAAAATAAAAATAATTACCTTTTTATTTAATTATTTTTTTATTAGCGTACATATTATTCCAATATTTATAATACCATTTTTATAATATATTTTTGACATATTTTAAGATTACACATATATAACGTAATAGTATTTTTTATGACACAATTCATGAAAAATCCTACATAGTGGTTTCTTATAATTCAACATCAAAGTTGTGGAAAACGTAAGAACATTTTTGAACATTAACGTGGGTTTATGATTTCTATAAACTTACAAATTTTCTTAATTAATTGCTATCAAGACGCTTAATAATTAATATCATTTATTAATATGTTCTGAGGTTTTTTAATGATATTTTTATAGAACATTTGTGGATTCTTATGTAATATAAAATACAAGAAATTTGTAAAGTGCAGAGTTTGAATTGAAGTAATAGAAGAGTTTGATTCAAAGTCGAAATTTAATAAAACAATCGTTTGATCACATGACTGAACATAACAATGTTTATAATGCAAAATGCTGCTTATTTTCTGAAGGTTCATGTGGGAGACATTTGAGATCAAAACTAACTGGGTTATTTAAATGCGACGAGTTAACATAAATGTTAGCTGGTGGTTTTACCAAAAAACATGTAATTGAGTCGCGAATACATGTAGAAATAAGTAATGAACAAGTTATATTTTTCACAAACCGAAATATGGCAGATATTGGTATGTACTAAATCTGTGCTTACATCTATGCTATGATGTTTCTCCAACAAATAAGGGAAGAGACAAACAAAAAGATCTCCGAAAAGCAACAAGAGACCAGTATGAAAATATTATTAAATGTTCCTGGTTCTTTTCCAGTATCTGGTCAGCTGTTAAGAATTCACAGAAACAGCATGTTTTTAAATTACGATTGAATAGAGAATGATCCTACTGACACACTTGATTTAGTGTCTCCAAAAAGCTCTTTTTTTCAGAAAATAATAATGAATTTTTAGTCACAAGCACTCCAGATACAAGTCCTGTGTAAAATTGTATTAGAAAAACACATATCAATGAGGCATCAACTTCTACAACCAACTAACATAAAAAAAGTTTAATGAAGCTGTAGATAACTTCAAAAAAATTTATTCTAAAATAGTAGCACCAGGACAAAGTTTTGGAGATTATGGAAGACTCAACGCAACCGTTATCAGTTATTCCACATGATTTGATACTGCTAAATGAAGCTTATCAAAACACTTAAACATTCAGCTAAAAAGTGCTTATTTTATCCGCAATACCACCACTACTAACTATTCAAGAGAATATCTCATGAAAACTTTTAAATGTCACAAGTTTGACTATTTAAACTCACTGCATTTGATTTATTTTTTTTTATTCTCAAAAAAGTAGTTTTTTTTTAGGTACACAAATGGTTTGGCGAGGTAGAAAAGAAAAGAAACAGGAGCATTTAAATAAAAAAAAAGTTAACTCGTCAAAAAATGAATATGGATCTTGCCAAACACTTCTTAAATTATATATTTACATTAGGACTTATTCAAGATATAGCTTTTGGAACAAGCAAAATCACTTTAACCGATGGACATCAACAGGTATATTGTATGTAAACAGCTTATTTTTCTAGCATGCCAAGTTCAGAGATTTGACATTAAATATAATGTGCTTGATAATTTCTGATGACTATTGGCTTAATTTATCTTTAATATTTATTTTCATTCTGTAGGTACTCATTAAGGCTGTTCTAACAAAGTGGTAAACTATAAACTCGTATCAAAACTGTTGTAAATCAATAAACTAATCTGGCATAAATAGGTTTATATCTCTAATGAAATGTGTTGCAATAGGTTCCACAGATGCAAACACAGTAAAAGATATAGAAAAACGTTTAGAAAAAGCAAAGCGATATTTAATAACTACGTATGGTTTGCATTGCATAAAAAAGCTAAATATTGTTTCACAATCTATCAGCTGTGCTTTGTGTAACTCTAGAGACAACGACTTTAAAACAAACACTTGCTCTTCCTATCCGGAAAAGTGTCATGACAGCATGTTACTCCCAGAATGTCTAGAGATGATTGAAAATATAATCCAGGATCTACCCGAAAATAAAGAGAAAGAAGAACTTAAATAAGATACTCTTAAAAGTATTGAATCTATATATTCTTGAATGAAGCATATTTGTCGATACGTACAGCAAAACAAAGCCAAAAATATGCTATGAGCCAAATTAACAAAGAGACCGGCTTGTGGTTAAGTGATTGATCTCAAAAAAATACTTCCTGTTAGGTTCAGAGAAGGAAAGAAAGCCTATTTTGGTAAGCAAATGCATATTGACTGCTTTTTTTTACAAAAATGATGCTGGGGTATTAAAGAAAAGAGTATAGCACACAATAATACAAAAAAGTGATTAGGATACAAAAGACACTTTATGCGTGGCTGACCATGTAATTGACCAGTTTACTCAAGATGTTTAAAGTGTGAAACAGATTTTAAAAAAAAGAGATAATGCTGGTAAGAATATAGTTATTGTAATTATTGCTAAAAAACAAAAGCCTTGCAATTTAATTGGATATTAGGTGGAGGGGGTATTAATGTAGGTTCTTGTAATGTACGATGATATAAATTTTTATCCACAACTAGATTTTATAAATCATTATCTATTTTTTATTTTAGGATGCTATTCAGCTAACTCAACTGTCAAAACGTTGTTTTATATCTGCAAGATGAAAGGCGTACAACTTTTATGATGAGCCACAAAAAGGTAAAGACCAATGTGAGCGCGAAAGTGCTGTCGCTAAAAGATACATTAGTGCATATACCAACGCAGGTAATAATTGTACTTCAGCCCAGATATTAAGAAAGGAATTTTATTTTTTGGAGGCTCAAAAGATTCAAAAGTATCAGTGGTTGAAATTGATGAATTAAATTTAGTTAATGATAGCAAAATAAAGAATATCAGTTCAATCCATTCAATTTCATATAACGATAACGGAATGACTCAATGGCAATACTTTAATTGTGGTAAAGGTAAAAAAGTTTAGTTTTCAGGATTAAAATTCGTTTCTGGTTTAACAGAGATAGAATCTTTCGATGGTGGAGAAATTTTAGAGCAAATAGAAATCAAACGACACGAAAAGATTGATGTCTTAACATTTGTGTCTCTGCAGTTAGCCATTATGTCTTATGTTTTTTGATACTGAAGCTGACCTTCGAAACCATCAGAATGAAAATGCCCATAGCACCCAAAAAAAACAAAGATCAATTGATTCAATTTTATTACATCATACTAATTTGCTTATTTATTTGATTAATTCCAAACCTCTCAAAGGAATTGATGCCAATGTTGATATTACAGGATGGGTCTTACCTTTACGTAAGCATACAAGATTTACAACCCAGCAGAAAGATTTCTTGTATGAAAAGTTCGTAGCTGCAGAAGTAACAGAAAATAAAACAACACCAGAAAAAGTTTTTTCAAAATGAGGACAATGAAAGATAAAAAAATGTCAAATCATTTATTCCTACTCAATATCTTAGTCGACAGCTAATTCTCTCTTCATTTAGCAGAATATCCGAAAAATACCAGCAAGTTTTGCTTAAAAACCTGAACAAGTTAAATCTATTGAGGACTTTTCAGAAGAATTAGAAGAAAACGTATTTAAAAATGACACAGAAAATGTAGTTAACGAGATTTTCACCAATGTTGAGAAACTAAATAATGTAAACGTTGGGAAGTTTTTTCTTGTTGCAAAGAGTTTTGAAAATCAAACAAATCACTATGATGGCCAAAAAATAACAATACTAGACACTGTGCACCAGAGAGACCGCCAGGTTTTTTGTCGTGGCACTCAAACCAAGTCCTTATTTTATGAAAGTATTATATATATTGTTTTAGAAAATATATTTTTTGAAAACGAAACGCGTTGCTATCATATCTTTTTTGATATAAATATATTATAAAATGGTTATAAAATTTCTAAATTTTTCGCCGGATCTTGACTTTAAAAAATGTTAAAAAAATTGTTTTTATCCTTGGAAACCACTTATAGATATTTTTTTAATGGAAGTAACAAAATTTATTTTGTAAAATATATTGTTTAATATAATAGTTTAAAAATAAAATTATAAATGTCAAAAAAATATTTTTAACAAATTTTTATATAAAGTTAATTAAATATTAGCTATTTATTATACTAATTATACTGTAACCTCATATTAGATGGGCTTATAAATTTAATTACCCTCTGTATTAACTAATCAAAAAAAATTCCGAGATTAAAAAGATGGTAGTATAAAAATTTTCAAATTGCGGAAGGTCGTGCTATTTAGTAGTTGTATTTCTTTCATTTAAAAATGAATTCTACTTGTTGCTGTTGCTGGGAAAAGTATGGCGAAAGATCAAAATCATTAAAAAAAAATGAATAAAAACTTAGAAGAACAAATTCAAATGTTTATCTTTCCTAGATATTCGATGAACAACGATTGCTATCCATCAGTTGTTTGTCCTGGTTGCCGAAGAAATCTTTACAGACTCAAAAAGGGAGACTCACCTCGTGGTGAATGGGGAGCTAAGGTTACCAAGGTAAATTTAATGATTTTTTCCTTTTTTTTTTCTTTTTTTTTCTTTTGTTTATTTATAAATGTATATTTTTTTAGGTAGAGTAGAAAACCCTTTTGAGAAATAGCCCCAGAACCAGTCTTCCAGATGAGATAACTAATTTACCGACAGATGAGATAACTAATATACCGACAACTAAATTAAAGTCAAGTATATGTTCTTTTTGCTATACATTACCTGCACCTGGTTATTATCATAACTGTACACCCACCAGTGCTGTGGCAAATATCATTACACTGTCATTTCTTCTAGGTTCTCTTCAAGCTGAACAGGTAAAAAAAACTATATTTTGTTTATAAGTTTTTAGTTTTTTATGCAAATTTCATTTTGTGAAAACTTTATGTAGGTTGCTTCTGGAATTATAAAAAGTAAAATGGCTACAGAAAGTTTGATTGACGGATCAACATTTTGTTTATCTACAGGAGGAAATCCGCTCAAAGTCACAGTTGGTACACCAGAAAACAAATCAAAAAGAACTTCTATTAAGCAGCTTTCCATTGAAATAATAAAGCAATTACAAATTGTGTTAGAACTTTCAAATAGAAAAACTAAAGAGATGCTTTTTACTTTTTTTTTATAATACAAATAGTCTTGAATAAAAAAGGTTTTATTTGAGTGCCACGACATAAAACCTGGCGGTCTCTCTGGTGCACAGTGTAGATGATGATAATGTGCTTATCAACCTCATGGTTATATCGGATAAAACCTTTTATTGGTTTATCATACCCCAAACAAGAATTTATTGAAGACAGGTGTAACATCCACAATAAATTAAACATTCCTGAGCAAGGACTTATGGAGCATTTTATTTTTGCAAAGACGACATGGAAGTGATAAACAAATACTTTAGAGAATAAACTATTATTTTTTATTATAGATTCATTTTCAGATTTAATAGTGTTTTTATATTTGTTTTTTTACTGTCAAAAGTCTTTTTGAATTAAAGATATTTTCATTTCAGCAGAACCACCCATTGAATTTTTGTAATTTATTGAAAGTATATAGGTGTATAAACCATTTTCAAAATCTGTAATTCAATAGTTTGTTAGCGCATTGATCTTTTGGTTTTCAAAGTGAGCATAAATTATATCGTTTTTAAAACAAGTGGGGTTTTGAGACATGATTTTTAGACTAATATTGAGTTTTGAATAAGTTCGACTATATTTACCCTAAAAAAAAAAGTTTTTCTTTCTTAAAAATTTATAACATACTAAGATAAGCCTTGATTAACCAGAGGATCGGAGCTCAAAAGTACAAAATTTCCGTTATTGAACGCTCCTTGGCTAACTTTGGGTAACAGGAAAAAGTATGTTGCATTTTAAAAACTTATATTTTTTCCTTAATATATAAAACTTTATTTTATATGCGTTTATACAAAATCAACACTTCTCATTTCAAACAATTTTTTTAACAGCATGAAGTTGCTACATCAAATCAACGTTTTATAAAAGTTCAAATCGCAGTAACTTTTGAACCGCTTTGAATAATGGTCTCAAATTTTCAGGTTTTTCTTATGAAGTAATTTGAAGAAATCCCAAAATTTTCAAGAAAATCCAAAACTCAACTATTTCCAGACTTTTTTTTTTTTTTTTTTTTTTTTTTTTTTCCTTATATTTTTTTTTTTTTTTTGTATTTTTGTATTTTATATTTTTTTGTGTTTTTCGATTTTATATTTTTTTGTATTTTTGTTTTTTAAATAGAAAGGCATTGTGCGGAAAAAAGTCGAAAGTTTAGAAAAGTTAAAGAGGAAGGTAATTTAAAGAGAATTCAAGAAGTTTTTATTAAAAAGGAAGGAAATTATAACAAAATAAAAGCAAAAAAAAAATTTCAATACTTTTACACCAACACCACATTACGTACACTACAGAAAAACGTATAATAAGGGAAATTATAGCTCATAAAATAATGGCTGGCAGTGATTTTCGAATTATAAATAATAATATTTTGTTGTAAAAATAATAATACGTAGAGAAGTGGAAAACGTCACTAAACATATAGTTCTTTTTGAGCTAGGGTGTCAGTTTAGCTCATATGTTTAGTTTCAGTCTTCTGTTCTCTACTTGACATATTATATTTTTAACACAGAAAAGTTGACAGAAAATGTCCGTAGTGTTTCTACGGACATGATAATTATATTTTAAAGTAATGATATTCCTGATTTTCCTGATAATTATCCTGATCACTGCCATTGGGTCAATTTTCATGTTACTAAACATGTGGTGACATCTGCTGTTCCATATCTCACTCATGATGGTTTGGGTGAGTGTCAACAGCAGTTGCGAGGTTCCAGATTTTTCCTCATTCTTATAAAAAACGACTCTTAACAATCCTTGAATTAGGTCCTACTATTCATTCCAGAAGGGTCTCAACAAATAAGCTTTTCTTCAGATTGTGGTTTTCTTTTTCATTTTTTAAAAGAAAAATCCCTTAAACGTTTCGTTAGTGAATATATTGTTGGTATTTATTATCATCATTGATTTCAAGTAAAGGTAAAGCACTGCTCGTCGGATTTACCTCGACTTTTATTTATTTCAATTGAAACAGCTAAAATATCAAAAAGAAGAAACTGTTGCAATTATAAATATGCATTATTCAGACTCTTTTGTGTTCTAACAAAAACTAACAAAAACTCAGAATCTGTTATATGTTAATTATAACATTTAATAAAATATATTAGTAGTTGTTGGTTTGTTATATATTTTAATTATATTTTCTTTATAAAAAAACGAATTCCCCCCCCTTCCTGCATTTTTATACCTCATCTTAATTGCAGATTCGGAACTCTTTTAAAGTTTTTCACAAAAATGAACTTCCTCTATATTTAAAACTTGATAAAATCAGGGAAATAATGATGTATCCTAAGATAACATTCCCTATCTAAAAAAGAAAAAATTCCCTAACATAATTAAAAAAAAAACCTTCACATAAACTCACTTTTATTAATTTTTAACCAAATATAAAATCTCCATAAAACTTGTCATAAAAAATAGAGTTCATTAAGAATTTTACGAAAAAAACAAACTTTTTTTAATTATAATATAATTAATAAAAACATATGTATAAATTATATAACGTAACACGGGCCTTACTTTGGCCATTTTTAAAAAGTTTAATTAAACATCTGTAACTTTTAAACAGTAAAGTAACGTTTTACTAATTTTATAGTAAAACGGTGTTATTTTAAATAGTAAAACGTTACTTAATTGTTTATAAGTTACAGATGTTTTATTAAATTTTTTAAAAATGGTTAAACCCAGATAGCACACACACGTTATTAAAACATTAGAACAATGTCACGCGTTTCGTTGGCCAAACGTTGTTTTTTTTTAATCATTATGGTTACAAATGCATTATGGAATTAAATTTCCTTTAATTTTTTTTTTTAATTAAAAATTTCCTTTTTTTTTTTTTATACATATCGCGACGTTAGAATTATCTTGTGCTATCTCCATGTTTTTGCAAACTGAGAAGATCGATGTCAAAGTTTGAATTTGTTCGCAGCTAAATTGAAAAAATATTTTAAGAATTTAGGTATTTCCTAAGATTTAAAAATGTTTTATTATTAATTTTTAGATAAAAAAAACTTTTTAAAATTACGCTAACGCTCTTTTTTTCGCACCCTCCTTTGGAGATAGAACAAAATAACTTTTGTTTTTAGTAAAATTCAAAAATATTATGTTGTTACATCATATATATTAAACATATTAAGTACATTTTTCAACAACGACATGTTAGAAATTGATGAAATTTTGTTCTACCTGCTAATTATTCTTACGCAGTACCATACACTCCTAATTTATGGGCATGGGCCCCTAAATTAGGGGCATGGGCCCCTAATTTAACGGGACCCTTTTCAAAATATAAGACGCTTTTTGTATTACCTAAAAAATTAAGTTTTTTTAAATAAAATGAAGCCCTAATTAGGAGAACTTTTAGAAGAGCCTCTAACGACACTGTTCTTACGACTTACATTTACTTTAATTACCTGTAGGCGCCGGCCCTGGACAAGACTACGACGTCTAATTTAAAACGGAAAATTTGGCTGCGTAATAATAATATAAACGTATTAATATAATATAAACGTATAAAATAAATTATGAAAGGTATATAGGAAAGAGTTATGTTAAAAAAAATGTAATAATAAAAGAAATAATATTATGTAACTATCTGATAATTCACAACAATTCAACTAATCTAATCACAAACTCCATGCAAGATGAACTTGATTTTATTTTTCTTATGCCTGTGTATCCATTAATAGAGTTTAACTTTTTATTAAAAGTTATTGCAAATATTTACAAATAAAAAATTGTTACTCAAGTTAACGTCAGGAAGGGCATCAGGTTGTGAAACATTGCTTTAACTCTTTCATAGTGGCCTTTATGTCACTATGGAAAACCATCCAAACCAAACAAGTGAGGGAAAATGAATATAAAAGTACAAAAAAACAAACAAAAAAAACACAAGCTAAACAAAAATTTTTATCAAGATTTCAAAATAATATTATTTCAATGTGTTTTATATTTATATTTATACTAAATAAATATTTTATTTAAATATGTTATTTATATGTATATTATTTATATTATTATATATATATAAATATATTATTTATATTTATACTAAACATATAACAACCCTAAAAATATTTTGACTTTATTAATGTTTTGTAAATGTTCAATTTATTATTGTTTTATAAAATGCAATATCAACAGCAGGCATGTATGAATACATGGAAATGATATCATTGGCTTTTGCAACAGATTTAGACTGATAAGAAGCACGAAAGCAAGCTGCCATTGGTATATTGGTATTTAATGGTTTTGCAACAATGGTTGATGCTGCTTTCTTGACAGACTTATTTATACGAGCTTGTGAATAATTATCTGAAAACGAGGTTTTAAAAAAAACATGGTATGGCAGTCCGTTTCGATAAACAAGATTTTTAACCTTTGAATAAGGCACTAACTTATAACTTGACAAACCAGCGACAACTGAAAAATTCTTTACATCTCCTAATTGCATTTGGTAAACACAGAAAGGTTTTTTACGGTTTACATTTTTAATAGCTTTTTCTAGCCCAAGTGGACTAAATATTTCTGCAGCAGAGAGGGATTTTTCAATCTGACTATGAATGTTGTAACATTCTTGAATGCTGGAATGACCTGGCTCGCAGAACTTCTGTTCAATTACTTTTATTTGTGGGTATCGTATTATAAATTCACACAAAGCTGCTGACATGAAACTATTGCGGTTTTGTGGTACACATGAATCGAACCAAAGTATGAACTTATTTATGTCAAGGTCAGCCATGATTTTCAAAAGCAAACATGTTACAGCACTGGCTAGATCATTTCCTCCACGACCAGTCATGGCTTCGTTCCAAAGGATGCAATAACCCTTCCTGTTAAGCAAGCAATGACCAGTTAAGTTATAATTTGAAAGTTTTCGTTTGTAATAAAAGTTTCCCACATTAGCTCTAGGCAAATTTAAAACATTTTCAAGGTCAATACAAACAATTGCAGTTTTAGAATCAACATTTTGGCGATCAGTTTTGGTATCATTCCTTGATTTTATGTG